CGCCCTAGGGTTTATCTTGTGATCTAGTCTAGGATTTCTTAGAGGTAATCCTCAGCCTAACCATAACTTCAACCACTGTTTTGATCCTTTACCCCAAGCCTCTATTGAACCCTTGAATCTCAATCCCAATCCTTTGGCTTCCAAGCGACCCCCTGCTAGAGTGGCATGAAAACCCAGAGGTGGAATCTCAGGGCACAGTATTCTGAAGCTGAGGGTAGAGGAAAGCAGGCCCCGGAAGCCAAGTGCGGGGAGCAAGTGTGTGTTGTCATGCCCCGGCCCATTTCCCGGGGAGAGGTCAGGGTGGTAGGTCAGAAGACAGGGAGATCACAGGCTCTTGTCTGGGAGATGTCCACTCTGTGTGCCTAGTCAGCCCAGAGACAGATGAGATAAGCTTCTGGGAGACCTCGGGCAAGTGACTTAACCCCTGAAAGTCAGTTTCCTTTTTTGTAAAGTGAGAATAATAATAATTCATAATAATAATAATAGTTCCTACCTTGAGAGCTGGAGTAAGAGTGAGAGGAGATAAAGCATAAAATCATCTAGTACAGTGCCTAATGCATGGTAAGTGATTAGTAAAGCTTAGCCAATATTGTGATGTATTTTTTTTTTTTTTTTTGGTGTTTTTTTTTTAGAGACAGATGAGATAAGCTTCTGGGAGACCTCGGGCAAGTGACTTAACCCCTGAAAGTCAGTTTCCTTTTTTGTAAAGTGAGAATAATAATAATTCATAATAATAATAATAGTTCCTACCTTGAGAGCTGGAGTAAGAGTGAGAGGAGATAAAGCATAAAATCATCTAGTACAGTGCCTAATGCATGGTAAGTGATTAGTAAAGCTTAGCCAATATTGTGATGTATTTTTTTTTTTTTTTTGGTGATGTATTTATTTTTATGCACATCCCATCATTGAAACTATTTGAGCATCCTTGGCAGGGATATTTTTCAGGCCCTGGAAAGGTGGTTGGAGTACATGACCTTTAAGAGTTTTTCCAGGGCTTCCCTGGTGGTGCGGTGGTTGAGAGTCCGCCTGCCGATGCAGGGGACACGGGTTCGTGCCCCAGTCTGGGAAGATCCCACATGCTGCGGAGCGGCTGGGCCCGTGAGCCATGGCCGCTGAGCCTGCGCGTCCGGAGCCTGTGCTCCGCAACGGGAGAGGCCGCAGCGGTGAGAGGCCCGCGTACCGCGAAAAAAAAAAAATTAGTTTTTCCAGCCCTGAAACCTCATGTCTATAGCAGACAGGACTGTAGCTTGTGAGCCTGCAATGTCAGTGCTCACCCCGCTGCTCCCCACCCCCTGCCTAGAGAGATGCTGCTGTCCCCTCTCAGAGCCCAGCTCCTGTTTACAGGTCTCTTCCTTCCAAATCTGGAATCTCAGACATTTCCTGGAACTGTTCCCGGAAGGCCAAGGCCAGGCTCTGGAGGCTCAGCGGAAGAATGTCCAGCCTTTGTTCCCCATTGTTCCTGGCCAGCTCCTTTGTGGGGCCCCTAACCCAGCCGACTCCCTCCCTTCCTCCCCCTTCTCAGCCTGGCCTCCGTCGGTGCCAGCTGCAGCCACGGCCCTCACAGCCTAGGCCTCCGTCACTCCTTCTCTTTCCCCTCAGATGCAGAGCAAGACTGATTAAGACAGTTAGAGCAAGAGAATACTGTGGTCTCTCCACACTGGGCATTTCCAAGGGGTAAAAAATTGATTTCAAGTAACAGAGTGACAGAGCTGGAAGAATAGGAATTGGGGTCAGAGAATAGAGCTTTGGTATTTCAGAAGCGGAGAAGCTAAGAGCAGTGACAAACTCCATGGCGCGCGCCTGGGCGTATGTGTGCCAGGCATAGTGGAGTAGAATTTATGGGGTCAGAGTGATGAAGGAGGTATTCACATGGACCCTGAGGTCAGCCAAGGGTGAACAAGAAAGGGCGTGGTGGGACAGATGGATTTACTGCACGTCTAGCCAATTTGGGATTTCCCAGGTCCAGAGAGCCCCAGGCCTGCCTGACCCAGTGACTACCTGCTCCCCAGGAAGGTCGCTCTTAGCAGTCCTCTTTAGTGTCTTCTGCTTATACATTGGACTTGGGGAGACTAAACAAGTTCTCCGCTAATTATTTGATGGCAGCTTGATTCGGCTCAAATCTCTATAATCCAGAAAGATGGTATAAATTTCCCTTGGGGGATAAGAGGGCAAGTCTCAAAGGAATTCAGATTCATGACTAGCGCTGTCCTCAGCTGAGTCGGAAAGGGCAGGTGACTCAGCCAGGAGAGGCGCCAGTGCTGTACTGCAGGAATGGAGCCTGGAGGCTGCAGCAGCTGGGGAGGGGCCCTTGCCCCACAGTTACGTGACTCATCCCTGGACATGCCGTTGGCACAGCCTCTTTCCATTCCCAGACTCTAGACACCCAAGTGCTAAGAACTGATGGGGAGTGGAAGGCCCCATCATTCTGAGCTGTTCCTTAGGACGTTAAGACTCTTTCTCCTCACTCAGTCCATGCATCCAGGGCACTCAGGGATCCGTGGAGAGATGGCTGAGGGGACTTCCCAACAGTGAGGTATGTCTGGATGGCTCTCAGAGACCACAGTGATCATTTCCAGCAAGCTGTCCCATCAGCGTCCTGACTGTCTCATTTCCACACACTAAGGAAGAGCCGACTGCGTGAGTCATGGGGATGACGTTAGTCAATGGGACCCGCCTCCAACTATTTCAAGGAAGCTCTGCTCTGGGACCCTGGGGATGTGCCGGCCAGTGACCAGTTTAAATACTATCTTCCTTCACCCCCTAGTTTTAGAGTTTTGTGTTTTTGTGAGTAACTCTTTCATTGCTTGTAAGAGGGAAGAGAGAGGAGAGAGATTAGGTGCTCTTCAAGGACCCTCCAGAGGACATTTTTTTTCTCCTGGTTTCTCTGGCGACTTATTCTGTGTTTTCTGAAAATGCAGCCCAGGGACTCCTGCTGGTCAAGCTGGTGGGGTAGACAGTACTAATTCAGGTGGGATTTGATGTATCTTCGTATCTTCTAGAAAAGCATTAAAATCATTACCAGTGACATCTGCTCCTCATGACTAGCAGCAAGCCCTTGCCAAAATGTGTGCTGGACCGCAGGCACCCTCCTTCACTAAAATCATATACAACAATGAGCTTCCTCCTTGCTTCTGGAGCAGTCTCTCGGGGCTGTCTGAAATGCTTTCTCCTAGGCTGTAGTCCTCATTTTGCCCCAAACAAAACTTAACTCACAACTCTCAAGTTTTTTTCAGTCAACAAGATCTTCTCTTTGTCTTTGGTATACTCTAGTTTTACTACATTTTATGCAGGTGTGGAACTCTTTTAAAATATCTTGTGTGTCAACCTTCTTGAATCTGTATATTTATGTTTGTCGTGAGTTCTTCAAAAATTTCAGTCATTACTCTTAAAATATTGTCTCTTCTCCATCTCTCTATTCTCCCCTTTGAGCTCTTGAGGAAATGTGTGTCAGACCTTTTCATGCTACATGCCGTATCCCTTAATCTCTCTTCTCATATATTTCATCTCCCTGTCTGTGCCTAATTCTGAATAATTTCTTCAGGTACAACTTTCAGTTAACTAACTTTCTTCAGCTGTTTTTAATGTGCTGTTAAACTCTTTCACTTACATTTTTATTTCAATAAATTATATTTTTATTTATGAGTTCTATTTGTTCCTTTTCAAATTTGATCGCTTTTGATAGTATCTTATTGCTTGTTCATTTTTGTAATTTTGTCTTGTATTACCTCAAGCATTTCATAATTATTTTATGTTTTATATCTGATAATTTCAGTATCTGAAGACCTTGGGGGTCTAAATCTATTGCTTCTTATATTTGCTGACTTTCATTCGCGATGATTTGTTTCCTTCTGTGTTAATGACCTTTCCTTGTGAACTCGTCTTTTGTTGGTCTTAGTCTCTGAAAATTTAAGGAGATGTTGTTTTTTCCAGAGAGGATTTGTATTTTTTATTTTAGGAGCCCGGGATGCTACCAGCTGGGGGCCAATACCAATTTAATCCAGGAGTCTCAGGTTCAGCTCCCACACCTTGCCACTGGCACAAGTCTGGTCTTTCATCAGTGCTAATATAAACATTTGCCCTTGGGTAATCCACATTTCATGAGTGCTAAGAAGTCAGGACTCACCTTACACTTCTAAGCTTTTATATATGCTGCTCCTTCTGCCTGGAATATGTGTCCTTCTAGCCTCCCCACCACGCCCCATCTGATTAATCAATCTTTCTAAGACTAAGTTCAGGCTTCTTCTCCAAGATACCTTTGCTGATGATCCCTAGTCTGGGTTAGGTACCGCTCTTACATGCCTCTATGGCACCCTGTATCTACCTGTCGTTGCATTTTCCACACTGTATTGTAATAATCTGTTTACTTATCTGCCTTCCTCCATGAGACTCTCTTTGGTAGGGGTCATGGCATAGTTATGCTGTTTCCCCAGTGTCTGGCACAGGGTGGTTCATGGTAGATTAATACATGTTTGTTGAATAAACGAAAGACACCCGAATAAATGAATGAATGAATGAGTGAGTGATGATTTTGGAATGGACAATATGGGATTTCCAGAGAGGGTGAAGGATGATGGAGGGATGTGAGAAGAAAAGAGCAAAGGGAAATGACTGGTATTTTTAGGCTGTTTGTTTGTTCTCCTTGATTAAGTGGAATAAAGTTGTCACTTTATTTCATCAAAAGTTTATTGAGCATCTAGTATGTGCTATAGGCACTCTGCTAGATGCCAGTAATACAAAGATGAAGACCAAAATGAAACAAAAACAAAACCACTCCCCCCTCACCCCATTTAAGGCAGATTTGGCTTGAGCCTGGGAAGCCGGCCCCTCAGGGATGCAGAACCAGGGTTTGGAATACAACTTGCCTGCATCTCACCTCAATCTTCACCCCTGCCTCTCAAGGCTGACCAGCATGTACCCATCTCCAAGTCCTGCATCTTCCACCTGGCTGAACAACTTTCCCCTGCATGCATTATCTCCTTCTAGATGAGGCACCTGGGGAAATGAGGGGAGCAGTTCTGGCTAAGGAAGGGGAGCTGCAAAGGCACACCTGCTCAGAGGAGCCTGGGGAAGTGCATAGGGGCAGGGAGCTGGGAGGGGCACGACGTCCAGGTAAGAGCAGAGGGGACCAACTAGAAATGTTGTTGCCCTTGGGGCTGGGACAAAACTGGCCCCAGTGTGGAGTGGTGGGGAACAGGGACCTTGAGAGTCGCTCTGTGGGATGGTGCAGAGTCAGAGCAGGAGCTTAGGAAGTTGAGGAGGGACCAGGGATGCACTAGAGGCCTCAGGGGAGAGAGGTCAGAACACAGCGAGGGACTCCTTCTCTTTCAGCTTTTGAATTGCCCTCTCTCTTCACACGGTAGATTACTGTTCCTACAAACTGTTCAAGAGGCGGCGGCATGGCCGTGGCCTGGCTACACAGTGGACCAACCTCTCGGTATTCTGCTGTTTGTGTGACTGGGGAGTCTGCCCTTGTCCTGTCTCCTGGGACCTGAGCATCTGGGAGCAGGGCAGGTGAGAGGCCAGAGGCCAAGGGTTCCATCATGTCTCCAAGACATGCTGGGGAGCAATAAGCCTCCTCCTCCCCCTACCATTTTTGGGGAGAGTCGAACTTCAACCTCTTACAGCTGGAGGAAGCCCAACAACTTTCCGGGGGATAATGATTGTTTGAAAGACTTGTTTTGTACAAAACCAGGGAGAAGCCATAGGTATGAGGGGTCAAAAGACAGACCTTCACTTGATCTAGCCTTCTGGGCCGGAAGAATGAGTGAGAAGCCCCTTCTCTATGGAACAGAGACGGAAAGAATGCCGGGCACGCCGCTGAGGGAGGCTTTGGGAGGAGGCCAAGCGTGGGAGGCTTGAATCCTTTGGGAGGCTTGAATCCTTTGCTCTCGCTAGAACCCCGGTAGCCGGGCAACGGACTGTACTGTACTTGAGCTCCTCCTTCACCAACTGGTAGGTACCAAGGTACCATATGCCTGAGAAGGGTGCTCCAAGGTACTGCCTTCACAATGATTCGGTGGATGCTCAGAACAGCCCTCTGTACACCCAGTAAAAGGCATCGGACTTCCCCTTAGTTTAGGACAGTTGTATGTTTGAGGCAAGTGGCCTCTCTAATCTGGGCTTGCCAAAAAAGTTCCCCAAGAACCAGGAGTTCGTTCGGAGGGAAGGGGAATGGGTGGGAAGTGTGAGTGCGCCCTAGGAAGGGCATAGGATAGTCAAGGGGGTTAGGTTACTGATGTTAGTTTCCATAAGCCCCTCCGGGGATTGGGCCGTAAATTTAATAATCTATATGGTCCTAAAAGGGCACAACCCACACCCACTGAGAACACAACTAAAGAGCCGGGAGCAAACGTAACCCGGTTTCACCATCTGATCCACCCTCCGCCTTCCCGCCGCGTCCCATCTGCGCATGCTCACAATCGTCCACGTGCCGGAACCCTAGCGCTGGGTGAGGACCTCCATCTCCCCTCGCCCCTCGCCCCTCGCCCCTCGCCCCTGGCGGGCTGCTGCCCCGCTGCCCTGCTCTCCCCCGGGCCGCGGGCAGCAGTGCGCGGGCGCCTCCCGGGGGGTCGCGAGGAGGCTCAGGCGCTGATCTCCACCGGGCCGGCCTCGTCTTGCTCGCGGATCAGGTGCACGCCGCCCGCAGTCCGCAGTGTGCGCGAGGCGCTGCGCGAGCGGCCGGGCGAGCTCGGGGCCCGGGGCGGCGACGTGTGCGTCCGGCCCGTGGCGGGAGAGCGCGCTGGAGAGCGCGGGTAGCGGCGGGCAGAGCGGCTGGGCAGCCCCGGCGAGCGGCCCGGCACGGCCGGCGACACGGAGTAGCCGGGCGGGCCGGGCTCCGTCGCGCTCCGAGGCTCCGGGGCGGGGTTCTCCTCGGGTTCCGGGGAGTCCTGCAAGGACACGTGCCGCGAGGGGTCAGCGGACAGCCGGCCAGGGCTGGGAGCGCGCCTGCTGTTCCACGGCGCTGGGAATACCGAGGTGGAGGGGACATAGTTCCCTCCACACTCCGACTGCCTGGAGGGCTGCAGGCGTAGGTCTGTTTTTGCTTGCAACACAGGACACTTAGCGTGGTGCCTGGCACATAATAGGTGCTCATTAAATGTTGAAATGCATTAGTTTGAGTGCTTTGTCCACTTACGCTGCGCCTTCCACCTGCCTTGGACAGCATGGGACAGAGTTGGTTATGGAATAGTAGGGAAATCACCAGAGACAGTGTCCAAAGACCTGGGTTTGAAGCCTGGATTTGCCACTGATTTACTTGTTTGATCCTGGGCAAGTCATTTCACCCCTGTCAGCCGTATTTTTCTCATCTCTAAAGTGGGGATGACACAAATATTTCTCAGGGTTATTCTGAGTCCTAGGAAGGTATATCAATATGGTATGGCTATGTAATACCAGAACATGGTAGGGGCTGGTGGAGTGTTTGTGGGGCGCCCAGCCCGAAGCTGCTCACCTTGTCCTTCAGGATGTAGAGTGCCATGGGGTTCTTCCGCTCCTGCTCTCCACTCCGTGGGAGGGTGTCTGCTGCACGGAGCAAAGAATGGGGTGGCTGGCCCAGGTACAGAACCCTTTCCACCAGCCAGCACCTACACTCTTTGCTTCCGGATGGCCAGATAAGGCCATCGGGAAGCCAGCCTCCACCAAAGGGTCCGGGATACCTGAGGTCCTACCTTGGCCGCTCCTCTCCCTGCTCTGCAGTCTTCGTGCAGTTGGTGCAGGAAGGGGCCCTGCAGAGCTGGCTTCCTTGTCGCCCATTTCGGCCTTTTCCCAGCAGCTCACTGATCTGAGTGAAGATGGGACAGGTGAGTGCGTGGCGGGGAGCTCACCTTCTGCTTTCAGGCGGTCATCATTCTGATCCATATATTCCAGGGAGTTTTGCTTCTCCAGCTTCCTCTTCTTCCTGCAAATCAACCCAGCACCCTGTGAACAGAGCTGTCGAGTGTAAGCAGGAGAAGTTCTGGGGGCGAGGACACGAAGGGATCTGATGGCCATAAACGAGGCCTTGTAACAGGAAGACGGGCTGAGTGCGGTGGGAGGGGGAGTAGTCCAGAGCTTTGGGATGCGTCCCATCTAGGTTTGCATCCTGAGTCTGTCCCTAGCATTGTGACTGTGGGCTAGTCACTAAACTAATCTGAACCCGAACCACAAACACAGTGCCTGGCTCACAAAAGGTGCTGTGTAAGTGAAACCTGTATTCATCGTGCTGGGGTTGTCAGGGTTGTAAGCACAGAATGTGGTTCCATATACAACACATGCAGTGGTAAAAGATGGATGTCCTGGGAAGAGGTGCGGGGCCCTGGGAGGAAAGGTGTTTAAAGAGACGAAGGAAAGAACAGAGCTTGGGGCTGGGATGGGTTGAAGGATTCAGGTGCTCAGGGAGAGGAACTTGGAGAGTTACCCAGACTTTTTGGAGGGTTTCCAGCAGGCACAGACTGTCACCAAGGTCACAAGGAGGAAGATGCCTCCTGTGGACAAGATTATGTAGAGGGAGCTTCTTCCTAGGGAGAGGGAGGCAGAGAGGTGGGAGAGGCCTCAGAGGGGGCGGGAGGTGTGGCGAGGACAGCTTCCTGCCGGCCAAAGAAGTACAAAAGGAAGCCCAAGCAGCATGGCTGGCCCGCGGTGGACCTTGCCCAGAGCTCACTTCCTACCTGTGGCTGTCCTCCAGGGAGAGCTGGCCCATCTCTGCCTCCCTCCCCCTCTAGTGGCACTCTGTCTGGGATGTCCTCAGCCTCTCATGGGCACCTGCCTCTCAGGGCTTTGAGTCCCAAGGGAGGGCAGCGGGAGACTCACTGTACACGGTGATCTTGACGGGCAGGCTGCGGCCCTGGCTGATGGGGTTCTCCACCACACAGCTGTACAGGTCGTCGTCCTCCATGAGCACACGGGTGATGGTGAGCACCTTTTGGTCGGGGGACAGGAGCATCCGCGAGTCGTTGAGGAGGGGCTTGCCGTCCTTCAGCCATGTGTAGCTGGGCTTGGTGCCATTCTCGTGCGAGCAGTTCAGGGTAAAGGCCTCGCTGAGCTCCAGCACCGTGGTCGAAGCCACTAACACCTGGGGCCTCGAAATGGGCACTGAGCCCGGGGGTGGGGGGAGCCTGTGAGCCACAGGCCAAAAAGCATCTCCCTTCCCCTTCTTAACTGCCTACCTTCCAACTCAGTCTGCGGTATTGAGAGATCATCACTCCAGCTCTTTACCACCACCCACCCACCCATCCATCCATACATCCACTCACTTATTTATTTACCCACTATTTATTGAGCACATACTGAGCACAGGGAGTACAATGCCAAACAAGACAGCTGTGGTCCCTGCCCTCACGGACCTTCCCTTCCCTTCTTCCCACATACCTTTCCAACATGTCTTAAACTGACCCAGCCTGGAAGATGTTTTAGTTGGGCTAAGCTTAGGTCGAAATAGGTTCAAATATTGGCTCTACCACTTACTAGCTGCCTGAACTTATGCCCCAGTTTCCTCATCTGCAAAATGGGGTCCATGATATTAACTATCCCTAGATTATTATGAGCATGACATGAGTCAATATAGGCAAAGCACTTACAATCGTTTCTGGCACGTAGTAAGTGCTGTATACGTGTTAGCTATGGCCTATCTGCCAACCTCTAACATTCCAGTTGGCTCACTCCCAAGCGGCTTTTGTGTGGCTTTTCCTGGGGTCTAGCTAATGTACTGGGTGGACGTGGCCCCAGTCCCAGTCACCAGTCCCGCCTCCTTCCCTGCCAGAGACTTTACCGTCTACGGTGAGGTTGATGGTCTTCTCCCCAGTGAAGGTGTCATCGGTGATAGAGATCTCAACCTCATAGGTGCCCTCGTCGGCCAGCTGCAGGTCGCTGAGAAGCAGGGAGCCATTTTCAAAGAGGCGGATGCGGTCTCGGTAGTCGGGCCGCAGGGTGCCAATGACCTCTGTGCCGATGGACTGAACCACGGTCACCGGCTTGTCCCGCTTCAGCTGCCACTTGACAACGGGTTTGTCACTGCTGGTGCTGCTGTACTGCACAGAAAGCAGGGCCGCCTTCCCCACGGTGCCATGGATCAGGCGCACCGGGCTGGTGATGTTCACCCCCTCCAGGGGCTCTGTGAACAGAGACCCACGAGGTGAGGGCAGCGTCAGGCCCTGGCTCCTAACCTCACTCCCATCTCCGAGTCTTCTGGTCTCTCCATGCCTCACCCTTCTCGACCCTTCACTCCCTGTCAGTCCTTCCTTCTTACCCTTCGACGGTAGCTCCGGCCCCTCCGCTCCCCTGTCATCCCTCACACCCATCATCCCTTTGCCCCCAATCCTCCTTCAATCTGGGCCTCTGCCTCTGGCAGCTTTCCCTATTGCCTTCCTCTTGAGGAAGATTCCAGGTAACCCATACCTTATGTGGCCCATTTATGGAAAAATGTATTGAGACTCCCCATGTGCCAGGCACTGCCCTATGTCCCCAGGATGTATCAGTGAGCAAAACCGACAAACATCCCTACCCCCTGAAGCTTATAGGTCATTAGACCTCAGAGTGAATTTGTCAGATTTTCTCCTTAATTGGGCATTGGGAGAGTGGGGGATGGAGAAAGCATGGAAATGTAGATTCCCAAAGAAAGGAGGGTGTCGTGAGACAGTGCCAGTAGAGGGCAAGTTTAGGGGCCTGAGGACAACTGGACAACTCTCCGGTCATACCAAGAGCCTCCTCTATCCTTGCCCCAGCTGCACGTAGCATCATACTAGGCCTGCCCAGGGCAGAACACTCCTGGAAATTCACCCAAACTCCAGCCCAATTTGTATCCCCTATGGAAGAGGGATTTGGGACAGGTCAAGCAAAGAGCTTGGAGTCAGAAGACCTTGTAAGATTGGGCTCCACTGCTTACTGGCTGTGAGAATTTGGGCAAGTCATCCTTCTAGGCCTCACTCTTCTCTTTTAGAAAATAATGATGATAACGATAACAAGAGCAAATGTCTTATCCAGTTCACAGTGCAAAAGCATGATATGTATGTCAGTTACTGTGGTGTAGGGGAGAGAACACAGGATTGAGCATCAGAGATCGGGGCCCTGTTGTTGACTTAGGACCTGGGAGAAGCTGCTTATCTGTTCAGGGCTCAGATTTCCCACAGGTCAAATGAGTGGTAACGAGATGGTCTCATAGTTTGTTCCAGCCCTGTAGTTAGTTCTGGGATTTTACCATCCTGTCCAATGGCAGCCCCATCCAGAGACACATCTCACATTTCAGAGATCTCTTAGGAACTTTGGGGCCTGAACAGATGCTGCTCGTTGGCCTTGTACCTGGCCTTGCAGAGCAATACAGCCACCTGAGCGAGGGGTCTTCTGGAGAGGATGTCAACTAGGAACAGGGCTGAGTTTAGCTGAATAGACACATACATGTCAGGTTCTCCGTTCCTCTGCACCCCCAGCTGCTTCCTTTGACTGTAATTGCCTCTGAAGTTCCCTCCTTCTTTCTTACCCCTATTTCCCACTCTGCTACTGCTGCAGTGTAGATTTGGGGAAGGTGAGCTGTGCCTTTCCAATCCCTATTCCTCTCCTTGTACCTTGAGGACCCAGACCAAACCAGGAGGCAATGGAACTAAAAGGTTAGTTGTGGAGATCGAAGCAAAATTTTTTTTTTTTCTTGCGGTACGCGGGCCTCTCACTGTTGTGGCCTCTCCCGTTGCGGAGCACAGGCTCCGGACGCGCACGCTCAGCGGCCATGGCTCACGGGCCCAGCCGCTCCGCGGCACGTGGGATCTTCCCGGACCGGGGCACGAACCCGTGTCCCCTGCATTGGCAGGCGGACTCTCAACCACTGCACCACCAGGGAAGCCCGAAGCAAATTTAATTTAAAAACATATCCAGTCCATTTGGGGAGCAAATGCATTGTTAAGTAATGAGCTTATCATCTATGGAAGTGGTCAAGGAAACGCTAATTGACTCTTGTTTCACCTCCCTGTGCTTCCATTTCCTCCTCTGAATAGTGAGGTGGTGGGACCAGATGGTCTCTAGGGGCCTTCTCCACCCTGACATTCTATGATCCATCACCTGTCAAGGATGTTACAATCATAAAACCTTAAGCATGGAAGAGACTACTTTAATGATGAAAGCCACCATATGTATGAATATTATATACTTGTTACTGAGAGGAGTCTCAATTGGCAGGAGTTAGAATGGACAAAATCAACTATTTTCAAAATTTTAAAATTAAAGGTATTTTTGTTCCCACAAAACCTTATAGAAATTGAAAAGAAATGAAATTTAGTTCTAGTTCACCTGATTTGGTCAAAGAGGTGGTGAGGACCAGAGCCCTGTCCTCCCCAATACTTTGGGGTGCTGCTAGGAATCCTTATGGCTCTGTGTATCAGGCTGAAATCGTTTGGCTACATGATCCTTAAGATTTCTCCAGCTCTTAGTTTCTGTGATAATTTAGATGGGATTTCCTGCCTCGCATCTGCTAGCCCGGAGATGGAAACAACCTAAGTGTCCATCATTGGATGAATGGATAAAGAAGATGTGGCACATATATACAATGGAATATTACTCAGCCATAAAAAGAAATGAAATTGAGCTATTTGTAATGAGGTGGATAGACCTAGAGTCTGTCATACAGAGTGACGTAAGTCAGAAAGAGAAAGACAAATATCGTATGCTAACACATATATATGGAATTTAAGGAAAAGAAATGTCATGAAGAACCTAGGGGTAAGACATGAATAAAGACACAGACCTACTACAGAATGGACTTGAGGATATGGGGAGGGGGAAGGGTAAGCTGTGACAAAGCGAGAGAGAGGCATGGACATATATACACTACCAAACGTAAGGTAGATAGCTAGTGGGAAGCAGCCGCATAGCACAGGGAGATCAGCTCGGTGGTTTGTGACACAGGGAGGGAGGGAGACGCAAGAGGGAAGAGATATGGGAACATATGTATATATATAACTGATTCATTTTGTTGTAAAGCAGAAACTAGCACACCATTGTAAAGCAATTATACTCCAATAAAGATGTTAAAAAAAAAAAAAAAAAGACAGCACCTGCAATGTGAAGGTGATCTTAGGACTAAAAGGGTGGAAACCAGGCAAGGGACTTCTTCCTATTGGGTCGGTAGAGAATGGGTTGACTCTAGGATCCCAGAGAATAACATCTTGCAAATCAGATTATCTAGATTTATGGCATACTGTGTTTATGTCTGTAAATAGTATCCTAGCCCCTAGAAAAGCCTTGTTTGAATGTTCCAGGAATAGGGCTGTGATGAATTTAGGAAAGCCTCATTAGGCCATATTAGGTTCAGAGCACTAAGTGTTACTTGCCTGAGGCTAGTTTGGTGATTGCTGTCATAAGGGAGTACGGCAAGGGATTAAGGTAAATCTCTGGGAGCCAGGGCCACATGGTCCAGCCCCCCTTTTAGTGCCAATCTTAAAAATACATTTCCCAGCCTCCCTTGCAATTAATTATGATACTACTGAGTTCTAGCCAATAATACTAGTAAAAGTTGTAGACACCATTTATAGGCTGATTTAGAAAAACCTCCCTCCTTTTTTTTTTAATCCTCTACCTAAAAGAAATGAAAATAAATCTCAGACTGACCATGGGAAACACATGTCAAAGTTGATAGCACTCCATCAGCTTGCTGCCTGAAAAACCTCATGGAACAGTCTTTCCTCATCCCAGGCCTAGCCTGGAACGGCACTGACTACTCCATGGTTAATGCCAGGAGGACTTAAATTTTGGAATTTATTTGTCACAGAAGCTGACATTTTCCTCATAGATTGAGGATGGCAGAAATTCCTTATAGAATCTCAGCTCTTTATTGCTCTTGAGTCCACAGCAGTACAATGGCCTGATCCTGCACTTACCTCGTACCTGTCATAGATTACAACTAATATCTTATTAGCATAGTTTATATTTAGAACTTTTTTGTTATACTTTTTTTTTTTTTTGGCCGAGCCACGTGGCATGCCTGATCTTAGTTCCTTGACCAGTGATCGAACCCGTGCCCTCTGCAGTGGAAGCACGGAGTCTTAACCGCTGGACCTCCAGGGAAGTCCTTTGTTATATAATACTTATTAAGTTCCATCTTCCCTCACAGGAGATCCTTTGTCACCTTTTTTTTTTTTTGGCCTAATCACACTGACTGACAAGATCTTTCTATATATTTTTTTCTTTACCATATGATGACCTGAAAGAGCTTAGCGACATCTTTGATTTGTATAATTCATTGTGCATTTCCTATTCCCAATTCACTGCCTCCATAACCTCAGCTCTCGTTTCCTCAACTCATTGTAATTTCCACTGAGACCGCTCTCACCAAGGCTAATGGTAACCTCTTTTTGTTTTTTTTAAATAAATTTATTTATTTATTTATTTTGGGCTGTGTTGGGTCTTCGTTGCTGCACGTGGGCTTTCTCTAGCTGCGGAGAGCGGGGGCTAGTCTTCGTTGCGGTGCGCAGGCTTCTCATTGCGGTGGCTTCTCTTGTCGTGGAGCACGGGCTCTAGGCGCAAGGGCTTCCGTAGTTGTGGCACATGGGCTCAGTAGTTGTGGTGCAGGGGCTTAGTTGCTCCATGGCATGTGGGACCTTCCCGGACCAGGGCTCGAACCCGTGTACCCCTGCATTGGCAGACGGATTCTTAACCACTGTGCCACTAGGTAAGTCCCTAATCGTAACCTTTTAACTGGCATATCCAATGGCCTCGTTCAGGTCCTTATTATACTGGGCTCCTTGATTCATTTGATGATCATTGTCCGGGAAACTCCCAACTCCCTTCACTTTCTGGATACCACAGTCTTCCAGGTCTCCCTCTGTATCTCTGATTGTTCCTTCTGGGTCTCCTCAGTGGGCTTTATTCTCTGCCTTCCTCTGCAAATCTTGGGGTTCCTCAATGTTCCATATTTAGCTCATTTTCACTTCCAAGGTAATATTTATTCATTATCCTTGTTTTAAATCTCACCTCTTGGCTGACAGTTTCCAAATACTTCTCTCCAACCCTCCAGCTTTAGGTTATTCAACATTTTCCCACAAATGTCTCATAGGCGTTTCAACCTCAACGTGAGCGCAACACTAGCTATCATATCTCCCAAGCTTGCCCCATTTTTCAAGTTTATGGTTTCACACAGAAACCCTACCTCCTTCTCTAGATCGTTTTTCACTTCCTATAAATCACTAGGTCCTGACTTTCCCTCCAAAATATTATCTCAACATCCCTCACTCCCCCTCTCTTTATTCTCATTCCAGCCCAGGTCATTTCTCTCCTGAACTATTGCAATAGCCTCGCTATGGTTTGACTTGTGTCCCCTAAAATTCATATCTTGAAGTCCTAACCCCAAGTATGACCTTATTTTGCCGTGTGGTCATTGCCAAGGTAATAAGCTAAGATGAGGTCATGCTGGAGCGGGGTGGGCCTCTAATCGAAGATGACTGGTGTCCTTCTAAAAAGGAGAAATTTGGATATACACACAAGCACAGGGAGAATGCCATGTGAAGATTAAAGTTAATCTGTCACAGCCAAGGAACTCCCAGAAGCCAGCAGAGAGCGCTGGAACAGAACCTTCCCGAGGGCCTTCAGAGGGAGCACAGCCTTGCCAGCACCTTGATCTTGAACTTTTAGCCTCCAGAACTGTGAGACAATACATTTCTGCTGTTGAAGCCACCCAGTCTGTGGTTCCAGCAAATGGATACAGGCTTCCTTTTCTATCTTGCTTGCCTGCAGTTTCACCTCCAACGCCTCACTGCAGAGTGAGGGATCTGAGCTGTACTCTGGCCCTGCTGGTTCCCAGATTAAAAACCATTCAATGTCCTCCCCCGCTCCCATTGTTTGCAAATTATATTACAGTTTCCTTAGCAGGGTTTACCAGTCTCACCTAACTCCACCCACACTTTCTCCTCCAGCAGCGGTGACTGACTGGGCTGCTCCTAACATGTTGATACCATTTCAAGCTGTTGACCTTGGCGCATTTTCCCAACTATAATGCTCACTCCCACACCTATCTGTTTTTCTCATCTTTTAAAATTCAGTGCAGACATTCCCAGGAAACCTCCCCTGATATTCCCCCACTCCCATTCTGTACCACCAGCACCAGCTTCCTGATGGGATAGGTGACCTCTCTATGATTCTTGGAACCCTCTGCCTCTCTGACTCATAGTTGTTTCTGCATTTTATTAAAATGATCTCTGCATCTTATTTGCCCCACTAAATTGTGAATTCCTAGGCTGTCTGGAATAGTGTGTGTGTGTGCGCACGTGCGTGTGTGCACATAAGCACATGTATTTCAAATAAGATCATTTCTCCAAGAAGTTGGTAGGGGGAGGTAGGTGTCTATGGCGTGTGTGTTATGCATAGGTTGGTGTTACTCTCCCAAACTGGGAGGCTTATTATCTCCAAAGCTTCTTTCATCTCCCTTGTTATTTTACACTCAGAGAAGCCAGGGTGGCAGCTGGGGAGACACAAAACCAAGATTTCCCCACCCCTCCAAGGCCCACCATAGTCCCTCGGAAAGAATGCCGGACTGGCCCACGCCAACAAGACATCCCATCAGAAACAGCCCATTGCCCTCCATCTAATGTACTGAATGCCGTGGGAGCTGCAAAATCATGCAGGCTTTGGGGGATGGGGGGCAGGGGCTGGGCAGGAGGCACACAGAATGAAGAAATACATTCAACACGAATGCCTGAATTCACTGAGACGCTTCCCACGGTGGCTGAGCATTCTCCCCTCCTCCCACCCCAAAGGCATTCTGGCCCTCAGCTCTCCCCTCCCTCTCCTTTGAAAGCCCCGGGTCCCTTCTCCAGACCCTGTCTTACCCTCTGGTCTCCTACCTGTCTGGATCAGAAGCAGGTAGAGAAAAGGAGTGAGGCGTAGGGCACTGAAGGCTCTGGACAGGGCTTCCCTTTCTCTCTTCATTTTGGGTGGCGTTCTCCAGCTCTGGTGCACACAATTAGCATGATTTCTCCACTCTGGGCACGTCCCTTTGTACCACTCGGAGTTTCTCTGCCCGAACACAACCCTGCCAAGTTCCCTCTGAATACACAGAGCTCTGTGTGTTGCTGGACTTGTTCTTTCCTCTCTTTCAGACCTGGCATTTTCTAGTTTCAAAGCCCTACATCCCGGGTTCAGAGGAGAGTATCTGCTTGGGAGATAATCTCCAGCACACGGTTCAGTCTGATGGGTCCCAGCAGCCTGGGACCCTGGGACTGGGCTGGGACACACACTAAATTGGACCTTGTGTGTCCCAACCTGTCCTGTCTCCACCTCACGCTCCCTGTTCCTGCGAAGGAGGGTGTGCGCCAGGGACACACCTCAATAAGCTCTGAAAATGGAGGGAGAGGAGCTTTTCAAAAGCTGGGGAATGAGAGATTCCAGAAACTGCTGAAGAAATGGAAAACTCCTGTTCCACCCCAAAGAAAGAAGATTGGAATATGGCTTGAATTCTATTATTTTCATACCTGTCCCGGTGCTGCTTGGGCTTCTCTCTCCTATCATAGAATCACGTAGATGCTGGGGACCTTTCTCCAGAAGCTACTCTGCTCATTCCCCAGCCTCCAGACCATTTCCTAGAACATGTCAGAACAAAGATGAAGGTAATAGCCCAAGAGCCTGGGGTTCTGTCACCAGCTACAGCCCAGCCGTTTCCTCAAGTCTTGAGGCGTGATGAAGAGAGACACCCCAGCTCTACCCTGACCCTTCATTACCACGTCCACATCCTCTCCTGAGGGGCGTCAGTGGAATGTATGCTTGCTAACTGTGTGATCTGGGGATGGGTGCGCAACGTCGTTAATTCTCCAATTTCACATCTGTAAAAGGGGGGGAAACAGTAGCTTCCTTGTAGAAATTGTTGAGAGGATTGATGGAGATTTAGTATGGTAGAATGCCTAGAAAATTCTTTGTTGGAGAGGTGATATATATATATTTTTTTGCGGTACGCGGGCCTCTCACTGTTGTGGCCTCTCCCGTTGCGGAGCACAGGCTCCGGACGCACAGGCTCGGCGGCCATGGCTCACGGGCCCAGCCGCTCCGCGGCACGTGGGATCTTCCCGGACCGGGGCACGAAGCCCGCGTCCCCTGCAATCGGCAGGCGGACTCTCAACCACTGCGCCACCAGGGAAGCCCGAGAGGTGATATTTTAAACTTTAAGAAAAAACTGCCTCTTCTTCTTTTCCATTCCTTTAGGGATCTTCATATCCTGGTGAGACCAAAGTTTACAGCTTCCCCTCCTGATTGCCTCTAACGCTGACCTTAGTTTTGTAAATGCAGTAGCTATCTCTCAAAGTATTCTTTTTACATACTGGAGACAGCTTGTGTAAGCCAGGTTTCTAGAACTGAAGGTTGAGTGCATGGTCCATCTGAGCCAAAGGATGGAGAGGAGAGGTGGGAAGCATTGCTTTTGAACTTCACGGAGGAACTCCAAAAAATATTCTGAAATACACAAGTCCGATTTTTTTCCTTTTGCATCTTTATGGTTGTGACTTTTTCCTACCCAGCTCAAGGCGCTTGTCTGCCTCTGGTAGAGTTAATGGTGTTTCAGCATGAATACAATGAAAAAGAGAAAGGCAATATTCAGCTTCTGACATCGAAAATAGTATTTTAGAGTCAGTAGCAAGACGAAAGGCTTGAAAGCCAGTGTTTGTAAGGTACAGAAGGATATTTTAATTTCTTTTATCTGCTCCTTTGATGTATCACAGAGCAGGCTGTGGACCAGATCATAGCGTTCTTCTATAGTTGTAGACAAATGGCCTCTTTTGCCTGTGATGGTTAGGTCCAGAGGCTTATTGTCTGAGGTAAAAGGATATGATGTTCAGGAAATAGAAAGCCTGAACTCTGCCTTTTTCATCCTGAAGGACTGTGGAAAGAGAGCTGTGATAGAGGGAGACCTGGGCAGGATCTAAGTTCTCCACATCCCCTCCAGGGATGAACCTTAGGCTCCTTACACCCACGCAGAATACGAAAGTGCCCCGAAGTGGCCACATGTTCCCTCGAGGGGACCCAGAGGTGCTGGAGGGTAAAGCACCAATAGAGGGCAGAACAGGGAGCAAAGGGGCCGCACTGTGCAGGTGAGAGCTGGGCCACCAACCGCCCCTCAGACCAGAGAGCAACCTAGACTCGTGCAGAGACCAGTGGGAGTCCTGAGAAGGCCACACAGGTCCCCGGACACCATCTCCCCCGTTGCCACAAGGACCCCTAAGCCACACCACCTATGCTCACCCTAACCCTTCTCAGAGAAGAGCTGGGTTTGGGGAAGAAACTGGAAAGACTGATCCACCTCAAGAGAATGTTCAGGTGGTTGGGTTAGGCTGAGTTTACCAGGATGGACCGACTTTTGGTTTTCCTCTGCTGCCCTGGGCGGGGGGTGGGTGGGAGGCTCACATGGGAGACCCCGGCAGCTGCAAAGGCACAAAGGCACCACTGTGCCTTTGCACATCTGAGTGTACGAGGAGCAATTCTGCAATCCTGCTTCACGTGTTTTAAGATGAGTAGCCCTACAGAAGCGTATATCATCTGCTTCTGTGCTTTTCTCGTCTCAAGAACAGAGTTCTTTGATTGAAGCACTGTGTCTTATTGGCCTCTGTAGCCCTACTGTGTAACACAGGGCGGGACACATAGTAGGTGCTCAGCAGACAGTTGCTGACTATTGAATGGGCGAAAACTTGTGGGGGGTAGGGGGACTTCTCTAGCAGCTGGTGGAGTGAAGGGCAACTGTGAGGGGTACTGGGCCAGAGGAATGACAGCGGGGAGGGCACCAAATAGCAACTGCAGATGACAGAGCGATGTGTGAGCGCACATGCGGCACCCCTTTGGGAATTCCCAGAAGTAACTGGGATTCACTTTGAGGAGGGCCACCGATCCAATAAGCAATGGGTGACAGAAACATAAGGTAACAGTCCAGCCAACTTAGTCTCACACACAACACATACCGGTGATCTCACCTGTCTGAGCTGACCTTGTTTTATCCTCCCATGCATTCCTTGGGTTTTTCCCTGTGGGTGTGTCTGTTCCAGCTAATTGTTGATGATTCAGACCGGGTTTTTTGTTTTTTTGTCTTTCGTTCTTTTCTTTTGGTACGGATATCCTGATTATATATATTACTTTTCTTTAGCTCTGAAGAGGGTTGTCCCCCTTGGGATCAGAAAACACGGTTACTGTGGCCTCTCCTCATCAGCCTGGGAGACTCTCCAGGGCAGGGGCTGTAATTCTTCATTCTTATGTGTCTCCTCCCAGGGAGGAGCTCTGAGCTCTGCATAACATGGCTATTAAACAATGTGTAGACACAATGCTTGACTGACGGCATCCAAGGCCTGTGCCCTTTCCTCCTCTGAGCACTTCAGCAGGTGCATTTCCGCGGGCATCGTCCTCTCCTGAGCAGCTCGGCCCTGTCCTCTTGGCCCTCTGGCTGCACACAGATGCTTCAGGCCACTCGCATTTGGCACCTGCTCTGGGGCTCCGGGATTCCGACCCTCCCCTCCCCCGCACGCATGGCAGTACTCAGGACGCTATGCTGAGCACCCAGGCAGTGGCCCTGCAGCTCAGAATGGAAACCTCCCCCAACACACACACACACACACACACACACACACACACACACACGAATGATGTATAGATAAGCAGGTTTTAATAAACCTACCATTAGATTTAAGAATGTCCCTGCCCACTTGGCCTCTTCTCTTGTCTCCAGGCTGCAGGAAGAATGCTCTGGCACCGATACTACTGGAGAGGTTTGGTCCTTGCTAATACCATAACATCAGTGGGGATTTTTATATTCAGCATCCTCCCCCTCCTTCCCTTCATTCACTTCCTGTTATCAATGGAGTCAAATCTGTCTCCTCCACTAAACTGTAATTAATCTTGGGTAGCAGAATGAAAAATAATCTAACAAATGGCACCCAAATTCCTCTTATAGAGTAAATTGTCTTTAGCAAGAAAAATATCTAGATATGCCACATGGAGTAGAAGGTAAGGCCTGAAGCAAAAGGTGTCAAGACACAAAAAGACAAACCCCTGTGCAATAGAAATAGACAGGAATTGGGGATGGAGAAAGAGCAGAGAGGAGAGACGTGAGGGGTCGGGGTAAGGAAGCAACAAGGGGCAGAGGGAGCTGAAAACAACTGAAGAACAACTTGCATTGTTACGCTATAGAACCCTTTCTCCTCTGTCTTCTTCAAAACTCTAAGAAGAGTTTACTGTACACAAATTGCAGTTATGTGTGTGTGTGCTTCTAGCTGATAGAATATGGCAAAGGTGATAAGATAGTCACTCCCTTGGTTGGTTAGATTATGTTATATAAGACTTAGCAGACCAGAGAGAGAGAGAGAGAGAGAGATGGCCCTGCTGACTCTGAAGAAGTCAACTGCCCTGTTGTGAAACAGCCCCGTGGCAAGGAAATGCTGGTGGCTCTGGGAGCCGAGAGCTACCCTCAGCTAATAGCTGGCAAGAAAATAGGAACCTCAGTACTACAGGCACAAGGAACTGAATTCTTCCAATGACTACGTGAGCTTGGAAGACGACCTTGAGCTTCAGAAAGGAATGCAAACCAGCTGACACCTTCGCTGAAGTCTGATGAAACCTTGAGCAGAAAATCCAGCTAAGCTGTACCTGACCCACAGAAACTGTAAAAAAAAAAAAAAAATGTATGTTGTCTTAAGCTGCTAAATTTGTGGCAATTAGTTATGCAGCATAGAAAACTAATACGGGTGTGTGTGTGTGTGTGTGTGTGTGTGTGTGTGTTTACACACTGAGACAAAGGACGGAGTTCCGGGTCTGGATCAACAAGGTGGCCAGGAGGACAGCACATACAGAACAGTGAAATGATCTCTAAAGGGACGAATTCAGGTGAAGCAGGAGTTTGGAGTCAGAGATAGTGCTGAGAACTTAGGCCTTCAGAAATTTGGAGAAATATTGCTATCTTAGTCTGGGTTCTCCCAGAGGCAGACTCCAAGACAAGAAGCTA